TGAACAAAAACATTTATTGATGAGACTCTCTCCAGTTCAAGGGTGATACCTTCTTTGTACTAAGTTAAACACACTAATATAAAAACAACCCCACCAAGTTAAAAGGTCAAATCAATATAAAAATGTTAAATATAAGTGAACCTTGGATTTTTCTGTATCACTACGCCATCGAAACCCAGACTAAAATAAAACAAGTTAACAACACGAAGGGCTTAAGGCAACCATCTACACTAAAATCTACTGGAACTCTAAAAGCTCTGGATTGGTTTTTTTGTTTGGAATTTCGCGCAAAGCTACACGAGAGCCATCTGCGCTAGCCGTCCCTAATTTAGCAGTGAAATATTACAGGGAAGACAGCTAGCCATCATCACCCACCACCAACTATTTTACTAACGAATAGTGGGATTGATCATCACATAATAACGCCCCCGCGGCTGAAAGAGCGCGCATGTTTGGTGGGACAGGGATTCGAAACCGCGACCCTCAGATTGCGAGTCAAGCGCCCTAACCCAAAGAAAATCAGCAGAGACCCATACCAATGCTCTTCTGAAAACTTGCAAGTCTCCTAAAATCTTCTAGTTACGTGAGGGCCAAATTCGTGACTTTTTAAAGTCTTTACATTTGATATTTGTAAATAAGTATATTGCTTTTTATTTTCTCTAAATTTCAGTCTTATAAAGTCCAATTACCTACACCATTATTTATCGCAACTTATTGATAGTGATCCTACTGAATGCGTGATATCACAAGAATTAAACAACAACTTGTTCCTAATGTAATAATGATTTCAAGGTAATGTTACCATTTTTAATGCACGATTCTCACCAGGTATGTCTTGCCGTGCTTTCTTTTTTTCATTATACCTTTATGTTCTCTAATTGTCATAATGAATCATTACTGAAGTATATTTATTGAAGAAAAAAATACTATAATCTTGTGAGAATGATAGAAGTAGCAACTGCATACTACACTTGTTGAGTCAAAATAGAATCGTCATTTGGTATATGAATGTACCACGTTTCGATCTTCTTGTAGTGTTATATTTATTCTGAATGTGTGCAGGTCTCACAAAACATGTGGTCGAGAAAAGTATTAAACTGATCTTGTTTCAAGTTACCTTTCTTACTTTTGAAGTAGGCGATACCTGTTACCATCTTTGAAGAACATTGATTAATGTGACATTGTGTAAGGATGTCTACAGCTGTGTCCTTCAGTGTTTGTACAAGTGATATCTAGAAGTTATGGCCCCACCTACGTGTGATGAGAATGACCAATCACATGTTATTGCATGTAAAAATAAGTAAATATGAGGTTTCTTAGAAACAAAGAAACCTTGGATTTGGCAGTTTGATAGAACATCCTGCAAAAATGACCATTCAACACTTCTAAGTACATTGCAAATCTACACACAGTTTGTGTGTGTTACACGTAATAAAGATTATTCATTTTGTTTTACACTTGTGACCATTGTTCTGTTTATCAACTCAGTGAAGTTAATACTCTATAATCAATATCTAGAACGAATCTCTAGTTATTTAGTGACTTTATATTCAGTTTTACTTGGATATACCACAGTCATATTCATTAAGTACGAACAACATAGTTGATAATGATGGATCAACATATTTTCTATTTGATGTGGGGATTTCACTGAACTTTGTTATTGAACAGAATATCCATAAATGATGTTAATACTAGGGAAAATAATAGAATAATAGATACCTGGAATTGTCACCTAGTGCTCGACTGTCAGTGTGTGATATAAGAGTTTATTTCGTGAATTTTTATTTTTTAAATAACTAAAACTACAATAATGTCTTAAAGAGTTATGTAAATTCTTTCTCTGTGTAAAAAATATTGTTATTTTGCAAAACAAATGCTCAGTGAATGTTTATGTATGTGTCGTGCAGGTGCAGTGTTAGTAAACTTCGAGTTCCATATGAAGTCTTATTCCAGGACCTAAAGGGCTTGAAATTTTCATTATAATTTCTTTATGATAGGATCTCCTTTGGCTATGCACTTGCATTCTTTTCACTCCTATAAATCCATCTCTAAGTAGGTTTAATGTTTGGTGCATAGGAGCCTTAACATGCTTTATTCCTTTGGACAAAATCATGGTGGTGTATATTGATGCCAAATTAAGCAGTTATCTTTTACAAATTGTTACATTATACATTTCCATATATTTGTAAATCTATAACTAATAAAAAAATTGACCTTAAAACATTTTTATTCATTTTCACAACTTCATTTACAAATTGAAATGTTAATGGAGAACAAAAAATAACAGTGATACACAAAAATTTAACTTAAATTCATTGCCTATTTTTTGGAACATTACATCATGGAATAGCTGATTCAAAAACTATAACACAGTAATTATATACAATTTCTTTTATAATATCCTCAATGTTTACACGTTCATAAAGTAAATTTAAATATATTTATTGCAATGACATTGAGTGGTGTATTATTGTGGAAAGAAGAGGAAACACAACCAACACATGTGTGAGGATTTATGTTGATTGGTCCAGCTCTAATGTGAAATCACTCATTGGGAACCAACATCCAGGTGATGGTAGGATGAGGGATCCAAATTAAAGCAACACCATCCTCTGGATAGGACTGCACATAGACTGGAGTGCAACAGCAACCTCCAGGACCCACCTCATGGAGATGAACACTATCCTCCATGTCCCACCTCAGAGAAGTGGATTACATGTAGAATATATAAGCAAACCTCACCCTCTGGATAGAACTGCACAGAAGCTGAATGCAACATCAACCTCCTGGACCCCCTGCATGGAGGTGGAGAGAATGACTGGAGGATCACATGCTATCTATACCAGCAGAACACCACCACCCTAATCTCCACTGAATGGAAGTGAACACATTCAGGAGGACTCCTCCATCATCCACCACCCCAGTGGCTCAGAACTGGAAAGTGGCAAGGACTCCATACTCCACTAGAAAGACAATGGGGATAAAATGAGGCAGAGAGTCTGGAGGAATGCCAACACCAGAGACAGTGCAACAGGTGATAAAAAAAACCCTATTTTGAAAAGCAGACTGCCTCAGATTTATTCAATCAAAGCAACAGCAAGGATGGGCAGCTATCCTCTTCTGCTTTGCCCATGTAAGTCCATAGGTTAGCAGAACCAGAACAGACATATTAATGAAACAAATATATTGTGAGGAAAAACCTACTAGCAATTGGCCAAATCTCAACAGTGTGTGTGTTATACCTGACATCTGAATGACAGTAGGATACGATATACCAATGTGGCAGGTCACATCAAACTCAAACAGACCCACTGAGCAACATCAGTCACATCATGGCCATACAGTGCAGATTTGAGATATAGGAAGCATACCTGGACAGGTAATGCTCGCCACTGAGTGGGGAATCCTAAATGGGTCGTGGCTGTACCAAAGTTTGAATGATGGCAACAGTTGGAAGGCAGTACTCCAATGAGTAAGAAACAACTACCCAATGAAAATAGTGGGAGATGAATGTATGAGGTGGAGGCCACATACCTGACCAAATAATTTCCTCCAATGGGCAACAGAGGTGAGATTCCAGGAAAAAGGGAAGGGGCCAGATTGCAGAGTCCACACATGAATTCTCTGGAAAATCTCCAAAAACAAACAAATGGAGGAAAGGAGCCATCTGGAAGTCACAAAGGTTATGGGAAGGTAGATGAACCTGTGAAAAAAACAGAGCCCTTCTCAATAAGATCACAACAGCAATAAAACCATGTGTGAAGGGATAGGGCTGAAAAGGACAATAGTGCCAATGATGTGTAAGGAGGAAAAGTGTATCTCCCCCCAAAAATCCTTCAGGGGATTGGTGGAGTGCCCCATAAAGGAGATGTAAGTTGGACAAGTATTGTAGGAGAGTCGTAAAGGTAAGGTGAATGTGGGAGAAATGGAGAGTATTATCAGGGACAGCCCCCAACATAAGCAAAAGTGACTAACTGTTGGGAGTCAAGAAAAAGTTGAGCAGCTTCTGATAAGCCAAAGCATAAAGATCATAATGAGGCATGCTAATACCAACACTCAACTGGAAAATGAAATGCTCAGCATGAACCCTGATGTAAGGGGAAGAAAGGAAAACAAAGGACTCTAATGACAGGTGTCATGCTAAAAAAGAAACATTATCATATGAAAATTTTAAAAATGAGAAAACAGAAAGCATATCCAAAAGGCATAGATATATCAAATAGATTTCTTAGGAGATGCATGAGAAGGCACAAGTAGGAAGGGTGAAAAAAAAACTGTCAAAATCCTCCTCTTCATAAACAGGTTTGGAAAAGGTAGAAAGAACCTGAACATCGTAAAGAGAATAAGGAAGCCTCATATAATGATCAATCTCCCAATGAATGATAGCTGAAAAATCCTCAGTCTAGACTCCCAGACCTGAAGCCGGTAATGGCATTCAAAGTAAACAGTAATAATATACAGAAGTTGCAAACATAAACTTACAGAATTCATCTTAAATGGTAGAAGAAGTTGAAAATAGAGAAGAAAAAAAATACACAATAAACAAAGATAAGTTATCATGGAACACTACTACAGACAAAACTAACTGTTGCAAATAAATAAATACAAGTAAATACACTACTTCACACACACAAAAAAAAAAAATGAAATGAACACATGAAAACAGCACAAGTGAAAGACATATGCACTCAATCACTGCCTGATGAGAAGTGACAGTTTGGTAGAAATCGAACAGAGGGAATCAGATGAATCAAGAGGGTGTGCCACACTCCTATTGGAGGATGGTTGTCAAATGATGAGTTACACGCGAGATGCAGTTGAACTACGTTGATCACGGGGTATGCGGGAGTTCAAGGCTTGTGGGCAGCACTGAATGAGAACAGCTATACATGTATCAGAAACGCTTATTATGCACACAAGATATCTTAAAAGTTTTCTCAAGTGTGACAGTATGTTGAATAAATCGTTAAATGTTACACTGTACAAAGTATGAAAAGTTTTAAGTTTTAAACCAACTTTTATTGTACTAATCAAATCAGCTTAAACATCTGTAAAATATAACTTGACATTTCATATCAACAAATGTGTTTTAGTTCAGACTAACTCTGGCAATTCCACCACAACAGGAGCACAATCATCTGGTTCACTGTCAAAATCCCATTTGAATTTTTTGACCAAACTTTCTTTGAATTTTTGTCCTCGTTCATATAATGCTCTATCAACATTATTACTGGAAATGTTTGAAAAAAAGATCTGTAAAGTATTTGTTAAAAAATTGTCACCAGAAACTATGTCCACAAAAAAATCTGATGGAATCTGTTGAAGCTGAAAATGTAAAATTCGGATTAATTTTGAAAAGAAATCTGGGTACTTCTCAATTCCACTGTCACAAGCACATATCATATGCAAAAGACATTTCCACTGTTCAAAACCATCGTATAACTGGCCTGCAAGAAAACAGATAAAAGCCATTTGCAATTCTCCAAGTATTTCATCTTTCACAGAACAATTTTGAAACATCTCTTCCAAAATGAATGTTGAGTCCATGCCATGTGCTGTTATCTCTGAAGGTGTTGAGCCTGCAGGGTACCTGAAAAATAGATATAACTGGTAGTGTGCAATGCATCAAGTAAGATTGAGGAGCAAAAATTAAAAGGAAAAATTTTACATGCAAAAAAAAAAAATTCATTATTCAACTACCTGACACATAACCTATATAGTTTTTAAATGACTACTGGAGAAATATTTTGTGGCTTATCATTCCATGAGATTTTTTTAAAACTGTAATGATTCAATAATTGTAATCTTTCCGAGAATGTCAGTAATGCAAGTGATAAAGTGTTTGTTTTTAAGCACGATGATCAAATCTCAAATTACCGGGTTATAAGTTCTCAAGCTTATCACAGATTTACAAGTGTGGCTTGAGTGATAATACTAATATATAAATGTTTCAGAACAGTAGAATTATAGCTAAATTCCACACAATCTTTTAAAGGTATTTTAGCTATACAAGAGAGAATAAATCCAAATTTTCAGTATATGATTTTGTTATACCTGTCCAGTGCAAAAACCAAAACAAGAGAGAATAAATCCAACATTTTCAGTACACGATTTTGTTATACCTGTCCAGTGAAGAACAACAACCAAATGTTTAGCTGATACAAATATTTTATCAAATCTTTTACTTTGTTTTTATTTTATAAAAAAATATTTGCTACAAGAACTTTGTTTAAATTTCTTTGTATTACTTCACTGTTTTTTTATATTTGCCATATTTTACAATTATATAAAGTTCTCTATTTATTGTTCACGTTTTTCCTAACTTACAAAGTTCTTGTAAAATGTTGATATCTCAAACTGACTTTTGAACTTTGCAGTTATGTAAGTGAAATACGTTAATCATTAAAAAAATAAAAATATGGATCACAACATTTTTGCACGTAATGAGCCCTGAACTATTCAAAAACTACTTTCAGCACCAGAAATATATTTATCAAATTAGCATTATCACAGTAGATCACTTTATTACACAAATTATAAATTAATAAGTTGTATAATCATATCCAAAACTAAATGTAAAAAAAAGCATTCCTTACATACTTCTGGTTGTTTTAATAGCATCCAAGTATAGCTAAAGTTTACAATAGGTAAACTACAAGATAGCAACTAATTATCATTTTTTATTTATTTCATTGTATATAAAAAAAGTAGTCACTCTTGTAGAATAAAGTTTCTGGTGTCCATTTTCTGTTTCTGCAAAGACATTGACTTAAATGAATTATGTCAGGAAATGTCAAGCACATTCCAAATCATCCATAATTTATAGAGGAAAGCCACCGAAACTCCTACTGTTATCACCATATTGTACAAGTTTTTCTCAGCTAAAACAATAAAATAAAGATGCTTTTTTTTTTATGATGTATAATGCCTAAGCTGATAAAGCATGATCAGTTGAGTGACAATAGGTGTGATATAGCATAACAAGAAGATTGTTACTAATTTTAGTTACATATTTCTTTGCTGGCTCCATAGAGGATTTATGTACACATTTCGCATGTTGCACACCACTGTCAATGAGTTGTTTTTCAGTACAAGAACTCATCGTGTTAGATGTGATGCAAAACGTTATACCTAAGCTGGAACACTATGTTAGTCATTTATGAGACATCAAATCTTGTGGTGTGTAATGCCTAGACTGTTGAAGCATAACATATTGATAAAATGTGTTGTTAAAATGGTATTATGCACTTTTCTTAATGAAATTAAATATATAATTAGTAAAGAAGAACATGATTAAAATTATATCAAGATGAATATTTCCTTTAAGTTTTGGCATAAATTTTGATGAGCTAGTTAACAGGTCTTTTTCTGTTAGAATTCAATCAAATGTTATAACTTTACACGAGATACGTATTTCTTTTTAAATAACTTTAATCTTAATAAAAGTAAATTTAGCAGTTGGATATAAGAGCTAAATCTGATAATATTATTTTATAAGTTTTAATACTGTAAAAATCAATGTAATGTTTATTAACATTTTAATTTGGCATTTCAGATGTTTAAATATCTTTTTTCTATAGGCATATATTTTAACATTTAAACTTTTTCTCTGAGAAACATGAGTGTTTCTCATAAATCTGAAGATCTACTCAAGCAATGTTTTTATCACAGTAAAATTTGTTATTTGTGCATGTATGTGCAGTTTCCACATAACATATTAGCTACAAGATTTTTAAGTCACTGTTGCTCTAGCTACCTTTTGTTTTGTGTCATTCACCTAGAGCAGCACCTTTTATCTTCTTGTGTTAAAGATAGCTGCAAGGTCACCCATACTTGGGGAAGTTAGGCAGTTATATTTAACACTGGCAGTCAGGTGACTTCTGGAGATAATGATCTTTCTTATGTTCCATTGAGAATGACTGGTCATGTGGATAGTGCTAGTCATGCTGGGTAAGTCTGTTGTTAATGAGATAAGTATGTATAGGGCTTCTGTTTATGAGTTAACTATGTAATGCGAGATTTATTCAGTATGGAACATGAATTTAACAGAGTTAGTATGGCACACGACCTTGGTTTGTTTGAATAAAGATTGTTTAATGTAACTGTGCATTTGTGTTCAGACTCTATTTCTAACAAACTCAGTTAGTCAGAGAATACAGAATACATTTTGCAGTAAATGTCTTAACAAATATCCCATTATTTAACAGATCTATCTTGTCACTCTTACAGGAAATTGGTAGTATCTGAAAATACCACAATATCAGCAGAACTGCATATGATTTGTGCCACTAGTGATGCAGTACTTCAGTTGGTTAAACCACCTGCTCAGTTAACATGAATGAATTCAAGTCCCATCTAGGTTCAGCTTTTACTTCACCAAACAATTTTCAAATGTATATTATTTACCTATGTTCATATGCATTTTTTATCCATTTAATAACTAGAAACATCAGAACTTAAACATTTAATAAAACACCCAGAAGGCTCAATGTTCAAGCTTTCAATAGGAAAATAAATAAATAGCAATAACATTCTAATTATTCACACTCATTTAAATGAGTTATCACACTTGATCTATTTCAAAAGACAGCTGTCAAATCTCATAAAATCTTTCTCGGGATAAGAGATGATCATAATCTTTTATTGTTTTACCCATCTTCACAACAACACTTATTTGAAATTTTGAGTACGTGGACAGTGTGGGTGGATCTTAAAATACTGAATATTAGTTAACACAGAGCTAAGTGTGATATCTGCACACTTGAATTTCTTTCACATTCTCACCTGCATCTTGGAATAACTGTAAATCGAACTGATGTACCCGGTTGTGTTGCCATGGTGGGAAGTAATCTTTCTTCCAGGTCAACCTTAAACCTCTTTGTCACAAGACTATCTGTATCATCTGAAGTGGGTTTTGGTGGATAAGTCTGTGGTACTAGTTGATTCACAGATTGGATTTTGCCATTCTCTGGTTCCAACTTTCTCAAAAGGGGTTCTTCATAAAACAAAAGATAAGGTTTCACAAATTTTACTTAGAAGTTAGCTTCAACAGAATGATAGAGCTGAGCAACTTATTTAATTATTTATGAGCAGTGATTATGTTAATTAGTGGTACATAAACTAATTGAAATATATGTTTCAGATTATTTCTGTTTTTGATTATGTTGGTTGTCACAAAAATAATCAATTAGTTGAAATGGGTGTTTTCAATTATTAATTTTTTTTATTTGTCCACAACAGAGTAATATAAATTGTTATTAAATTGATTATCAAAAAAATAATCAACTAATCAAAATTAGAATTTCCAATTATTCCAACAATACAAATACTCGAAATATTGCCACTAAACTTAGCCATCTTATCTTTGTTATGTGAAAACTACTAAGGCTATTTGCCATTGGAACTAATGTTTCAATATTAACAGAGGGAAAGAAACTAGTCTGCAGCACCCATCACCAACATTTTTGTGTTGTTGTTCTTGTTGATGAACTGTTGAATAGAAGGAAGGCAATTTCTTGGGCAGCACCAACCACCACTTTTTTTTTAGCATGTTCTTACAGTGGTTGGATAAACACTGTATTGATCAATTAATGGGGGCCATTGATTAGCTGAATAGAAAATACAACTAACTGTCCAGCTCTACAGAATGGTATGATATACATGTGCCAAAATATGTTCCACATCTTATAGACTATAAACTGTGATGCATTTTTAAGATGCATGTAATTCATAAACATTTAAATATACACTTTTTAATTAACAAATTAAAACTAACTGAGGTTAAAAAATACAGCAATGAACTGAAAATAATGATATTTGAATAAAAGATTACATACCAGTATATAAGACAAGAATTTCACCATGCACATTGAGAATGGATTTGATATACTTCAAGTGGAAAAAGATAGACCAAAAACAAAATGCTAAGCCATGAATTTGTTTTTTTAAAGATAACTACTGTACAACTTTTATCTAATGTACAAAATATGTATTAGTGGTCATAGCATTTAATGCACAAGAAAAAAAGCAAGGGTGTAAAAATACATTAGCCCATTATCTAGGACTACCAAATTTTGAGTTCAGGCTCCCGTGACTTCCATGCATACTAGCCTGGGACAAGTGTAGTTCTACCTGCATGACATGTGTAAAACCCAACTCTATATTTAATTATCAAAATTTACAAAAATGCTGTTATTTTTTCTCAAATGAATTGTTTTATAATATTGATTGACTGTTTATCAAAGAAGGGTAATTCACCATAAGTCTGATACACAAACACGTGCGACTCAATTAGAGACTTGTAAATTAAAATGTCCATTTATTTAGTTTCATATTTATAACATTTCCTAATCTAATTGGCTATTTTTCACTGGAATTAGAAACAGTTATTTTTTAACACAAATTTTATAAAAAAAAATTTATAAAAAAAGTTATGTTTGAGAGAAATAATACAGATCGTCCAAATAGAACTCTGTGGCCTCTCTCCTAGGTACTGAAAAATTAAATAGTGTATACACAGAGTACATAACCTGCTTGGATTTTACATTTTTATACATTCTGAACTAAATCATATTATTTTAAATACATCGGGAATATCAGTCTATCACATATGTATACTAGTCAACCTGCCCATAGTATTCATGCCTGCATCACATATGGTGTCGTAAATCATATTTTTAGGTTTGTTTGTAATACTGTGGAAGAAGTCACTGCCATGAATAAAGATATGTTTATTTTGCAAGGCATAATAATTTAGTCATTAAATTGAACAACAAAAAAAGAGAGTTGGTCTAGAACCTATAATGTAAAGAGAAATAACATTTCTGTACTTCTTCAAAAACCTATACAGTTTATACTCCATGAATCTGTAGGTTATGTATGGAGAATTACGTTTACCTTTTCAACAGTACTTGAATCTTCATGTCTTCAATGTTTATACTGAATGTTAATTTTTTTTTTCGTGGTACTATTTTCAGTTCTAACTACATTTTATTAAGATTTGTAAACACTACAACATCTATTTAACATATAAAAATTATCTCCATTTTGTTTTTACAGAGCTACAAATAAACATGTAAGGCAAGAGAGAAATAAAAGAATTACTGTAATGGTGCAGGGGTGAAGCCAGCACTACAGAATGAGGGTTCCCCCCCCCCCCAAAAGCGTAAACCTTTTCTTCTATGTAAATAATTTAAGTAAGTTACATGAAAGTGTTTACTAAAAGAAAATCAGATGATATTGGACTTTTAGAATGATGGGGTTATCACTCAACCTCCATCCTCTGGCAGTTACTACAAGTTACTTTTAAGATTTTGAAATCAGTTATATAAATTTAACTTTCAAGTACAAGAAAAGCACATTTTACTATCTAATAATGAAGGTTTAGTCAAAAATTTCTATTTTCGTATAGCTTTTAATGTTTAACCATTGAGATAAGACCATGTGAATGAGGCTAGATAAAATGCAGATCAACAAACAACGTTAGTGACAATTAGTTTAAGGAAAATGCATAGAAAAATTGATTCAGCTTATAAAAATAAAGGTCATCATCAGAACAGAATGCATGAACATCATGAGAAAAGTATTTGAAACAGCACAAAGAGTTTTATGAATGCTACAGATGCAACCATTTACATCAAGAACTAATCTCAGAATTTCTCAGTTTTATTATAATCCGATTATAATAAGTTGACAAACTTAATGTAATGTTATCCTAAATGTAGAAAACAAAATGCCTTTAATAAAGTTCTTAACATTTCACTTTACATATTATAAAGTTTTTCATAGTTAGTACTTTTTTTACCCTTAATTTAAAGTATAAATGATGTAATATAATACTCAGACACTGGTTACTTATCAAACAAGTTTATGTACATTTAGCTCACATGAAGACTTACAGAAGTAATAGTGGGGACAAAAACAAGTGTTATCCATACCTCATAGGAACTGATGAAAAATGATCACAAGAGATAAAAATAAATAGAATTTATGAAATTTAAAATAAAGTTCAGTGATTCATTTTTAATTTATATACTTATCAAATATTTTTAATCTTATTTTTCTGTTTATCTACATAAAGTGTTTCAGATTTCTCAATCATCATCTTTGTGTCTCCCATTCAATATCAAATTAAGAAGCAACAGATTCATTCAACATGAATAGAAGTTTTGTTTGTCTTTTAATTTACTTCATCCTTTTATTCTGTATTTTAATAACTTTTTATAAAATGTTTAAATTTATAAGTTTTTGTACCTAATAATTTACCCTGTTCAATATAGCTTACTGAAGATGGAATATGTGTATTCCAAAATGTTCAAGAATTAAACATTTGTTACTGTACTCACACGTGTCAAATGTTCGTTGTTGCTGCCATCCTACTGTTGTTTATCAAATTAATAAGGTAAGAACTTGGTAACCCAACTTCATGCAGTAACCTGGTCAGTATGAATCAAATCTCGTACTCTTTCAAACAAAAAATGGATAATAATGTCTACTAAAAAGTTTTCTGAATGTTTCAAACAGAATACTGCTGCTCATGACTAAACACAAATAATTTAGCTTCCATAAGATACTTCTGGTGAAGAAGAACCATGCATTATATACTCAAGTGTATATGAATTACATGTTATTCTGTAGCAGTGTTCCCTCTAAGCTGCACGGTCACACAACAACCAATCAAGTGCATTATTCCAGCCAGTATCTATAAGATACTTCTGGTGAAGAAGGACCATGCATTGTATACTCAAGTGTATATAAATTACATGTTATTCTGTAGCAGTGTTCCCTCTAAGCTGCACGGTCACACAACAACCAATCAAGTGCATTATTCCAGCCGCGCACATCCTCGGTAATGGTGAGGAGTTTCAACACACTGATGACCTTAATGACTCTGGCAGTCGATAGGCTTAAAGCCCAAATAACCAACTGGTAGCATTGCAAAATGGCCTAATGATCCAATAGGGTTGATGGTCTAAAAATACTCTCCTGCCCCTCAAAAAAAAAGTTATAGTGCACATCGCTTTGATACTGGTGCACATGAAAAAATTCATTCCTCACATGGATTGAAAAAACTAGAGGGAACATTACTCTGTAGGCAAATGTGATTAAGCATCAGGTTTATGTGTTTTACACAGATGACCAAATCAAATCAAACAGTTTTGTTTAAGCATTATATTTTCCAGAAGGTATTTCAGGTGAAAAATTTAGGTTCAACATTATAAGTCAACTGCTTTTAAAATTACCAACTAAAGTATTTAAATGGTGTCTTAAATTAGAAAATATGTTTTAATAGATATTGAAATGAAAGTCTTGGCTAATTATACTGACTGAATGATGCAAGAAGAATAAGAATTATATCTACATATCTCTTAAAAATGTTACTCTCTTTCTTAGAAATGTGACATCAAAACACCTGACTAACAAAGATTAAAGAACTTTATATAATTACATGACATTACCTGTAATATAACCCGTTAACCCAATCCATGTTTTCCATGACTTATACGGAAAGACTCCAAGAAAATGGTCGAGATCACCATGCAAGTGTGCATGTATTCTTTGCTTTTCTTCTTCACTGATTTCGTTTTGGCTAACATCTGATAATCATAAAAAAGAAAGAAAATTTATTCATATGATGCCTAGGTGATTGTATGTTTCCATAATTCACTGTATACAATCATATCTTAAAAATACAAGTTAGCCAGGCACCAAAAAAGAATACTGTTTCACTTGCTGCACAGAGATCTAGTAATCTTATACTTATATTTCCTGTTTGAAAACTAGGACAGATATTAATTTTACAACTATATGTATTAACAGTGTGTCAAACAACAAGACAATCAGACTACACTATCAAGATAAAAAAAATTACAAATATCATTATATATCTATTTATCATTTCCATTACTTTCTCAAAGAAGTTTTAACAGTATAATTCGACTATGCAGAACAAAGACAAATTATGCACATTTAGAGTCTAAATAATGGTCAATAATGTACAGTATACAATGGAATATTTGTGTGACATCTATAAATAAAACATGTCTCCAAAACACCAATATATATTAATCACTTTGGAAAGAAAAAGTAGCTATATAATTACTTAAAATATTTATAATTTCTATCAGTAATTAATCAGTGGTTTCATATTTTAAGAATGGCAAAATCTGTTACTACAAAATATCATTCTTTTAAATACAGAATATACCACTACTAACAGTTTAACCAAAGCAAATGTCCTGGAATGATAAGAGAAAAATATAAAACCATACTCAAAGATTTTTTTTTGTTTTTTACATTATATACTTAGAATACAAATACATGTGTTTTACTGAGATCAGATAAGTTTATGAAAAATTGAAACTTTATTGTTAACTTTTTTAATATAGTAAAAAACAAATCACAAAACCCTTAGAATGTAAGATGCTTAAACTCCTGCCAGATGATTCAAAACACAGTCAAACCTTGAAAGAAGCTACAATTATAGTAACAGTTTGCAACAAAATAAATGATGTCACACAAAGCAAAGAAACATCACCAGACAAATGCCATAAACAAATGATTTGACAACAAAACTGCCAGGAATTATGCATACAACTACTACATTATTGAAAATGTCCAATTATACAAACTTTTCAAATGAAAACAATCAATTACTTTTACTACCTATACACTAGCTTTAAAACAAGCTTCACTGCATCGCACAATGAAACAATAGGAATGTATCTGGTTCAGTGACTGTTCAATAAAATAGTTGTTAATGCAATATACATTGAAGTTTTTGAATGAAAAACAAAACATAACTACAGGTACAATCATTATCCATATATAATGATTGTAGCTGTAAACATATGTAGCTCATTCTACCACTTGTGCTTGCATCAAAATAACATGACCAAAATACACATTCACAAAGCAGTGAAAAGAGAAACAACAAAAGCTAATTTTAAACACTGAATCACAATGTTTGAACAAGTACATGCTTTCCATCACCATACTACTGAATCACATGTTTATATCTATATATATACTTGTATCAGTAACCTTCATTTTATATGTAGTGAAATTGTAACCCCAGCTATAACACAAGAGTTGAAGTTTCTTGTTATGGACAAACAATTCTATTTATAAATATTATTTTTGTTGTTGCATTTTTGTAAAGTATATAGACTAAGCCTCCTTATGACAACTATCCACAGGAAAGGCAGTTCAGCTGACATGTAGTCTGAACACACTTTCAAAAATCCATCTCAAAACAAAATAAAAAAAGACAAAATCATAAGCTTATAATAAACTTCTGACAAAAACGATGAAACAACAATGTATGACAATGTATTATAGAACTAATGAAATGACGTGTTAATCTTAGAAAAAAATCTGGTCTAGAAAATTTAGCTTAAGGATTTTTCTTCAGCAATTAAAAATGAGTATGTTCATATTTACATGCTAGAAACAGAATTTGAAGAAGGTATTGTTGTGTAAGGACATACAGTGTCTGGACAGAATAAATTTGGTAGATTACTCGGACTTCATTAAATACAAATTCTGTGCTTTTGTTTTCTGTATAATGGCACAAGTTGTAAAAAAAAATTAACAAGTAATAAAACAAAATCAATTAGAATATCAAATGGTTTTGTTTCACTAATATCATCTCACGGAAAAAAAAAAATTACAACTTTATAACCATTGAAAATGAAAACCTCACATGCACAGTACAGAATCCTCATGTGCAGTCAGAGAGATTATTCTTGTTCAATTAATACTGGTGAATATATTAAGAATTTTCTTCTTTAATAGCAAAAGCAGCACTGAATTGCTGAAATCTGAGCCTAGAACTAGAGCTGGGCACTTAAACTGATTACCTATGAGCAACAATTACATCAATTAGTGCCACATAAATAATCGATAAATTAAAATCATGTTTAAATCAATTAATGTCATGAAAATAATCAACGATTCAAAATTAGGATTTCCAATTAATACTATTTTTGATTATTCTAAATCTTCAAATATTCAAAAAATTGCTGTTACGTTTGTTTGTTGTTAAGTAGAAATCTACATAATTGGCTATCTATGCTCTGCTCACTTGGATATTGAAACCTGACCGTAAGCATTATAAGTCTTTTTTTTACAACATCGACAACTGCCGAACACCCATTTACTTTGTTTCAATGATGCTATAATCAGTTGCTTGTATGTAACCAGTTAATGAGCCCATCAATTAAACAATTAGCAAATTCCAATAATTGTTCAAATCTGTCTAGAAAAAGTTCTCTCTTATATAACTGTAGCTGCAATTATGAAACAACTATACATGAAAGAAACCAACATTATTACACAACTTTTCAGATATTTTCACACACATACTTTTTTAGCATTGTATATGTAAGACTCAAAATGAATTTTTCAATAACAATTGTGCAATTTAGCTAGGTATACCTAACACAAAGTTAAACATGTAACATTGTGGTAAGAAGTCAAACTGCATACACTACACGTATAAGATCTTTTAACTAAATTCTTAACATAACATACAATATATTCTAACCTAAATTTTGTTGGCAGAACAAACATAAAAATGCTAAATCTTGTATTTCACTATCAGTATTACATTTTCAGCTATAGTAAAGCACCATACAGTATAATCATAAAACAAAATTATATTGTTGCTTCAAATTACATGTATAATATGCCAAGTGATAAAGAGTACATCACCGAAGAATGACAATTCTTGTACTTGTACTTGAATTTCATGCACACAAGTTACAGAAAATTTGAATAAAAATTCCCACCCATGATTAAAAGATTGGCAAATATTCATACACTTTTATAAAGTTAAACAGAAATTTTAGCTGACACATAAAAATCAAATGCAAACCAGATAACTAGTGGAATCAACTACATTTGGGCTCATACTTCTATTATCTTAGTTCAATACTTAACCAAACTTTCCACAGGTAATCTTTTTGGTCTGTAATTGTACCTTGAAAGGTATATCAAAATGTTGTTTACTTTTACTTTATAAAGATAACTTTAAAAAAACTTTTTTCCTTAACTGTTAGTAATTACTTATTATATTAACTTGAACATTCTTCATTCAAAATTAATGTAGCAAGTTAATCAATTATAAATATACAAATAAAAATAATTACCTTCAGTTCTATTGTCCCACTTCTTAATCAGCAACTCCTTTGGAGAAAAAAAATGAAAGAATCCTGTTCTTGGAGCTGTTTGTCCTTCCTTGTTGACAGCACTATAATGTATAAAATGGAGTCCAGGAGGGATCAGTTTTACTCCACGAAACTTTTTTCCAACATTATACACATTCATATCAATCCCAAACTCTGTCATTGGAGGAACATCCAGGAACACCAATGTGGCTCCTTGAACTGAGAGATGTTCAGCAACTGAAGGGTCTTGAGATAGACTAACGCTTTCAGTCATTTCTACATAAAAGAAAACCAACATAAAGGTTCAAGACTTAAAACAAAAACTTATTTGTATGATATTTTAATATGGATTACATCCTTGAATAAAGAAAACTTATTTTGTCCTTTTTTTTACATTGAAATATCGTGCTCAAACATCTTACACACAATTAGTTAAGTAAGTTTATATTATAAACACAATTTGTCAGTACTATTATAGAGCATGTACTACATATTTGCACAGTAAATACAATCACTGAACAATGTTCGAATATTTTATTACATCATGAGCTAGGTGCATTACAATCTAATTGTTCTATTACTGACAAAGCTGCTCTGATGTGACATGGTTGACCAGTAAATTATATGACCACTGTCAGTACTGACTACATATGTCATAAATTACAATGTTAGATACAGCTGTACCAATTAAAAATAATTTTGAAAATGGTTTTAGGAAGCTTTTTTGACTCTATAAATTTATACAGTTCCTCAAATGAGTTTTTTTTCATGATTTGTTAAAACTAACTAATACAGTGTTTCTTACACTATAGGTGTAGAAGCTAAAATAACCTATGAACAACAATGGCTATTTGGTCTTTCAAGGCTGTCCTAGCACCTTCTCCCCTCTTGATAAAAGTTCAAATTTTAACCCACACTTTACTTTTCAATGTATACATATTATGATTAAATTTCAATTAAAAGATGTACACTGTATACCTATGCACTATCACTGCATCACTATTAGGCTGTCATGTACTACAGAATTTATATGTAGTATGGTTACTTACTCTCCAAGCTGTTTTTTGTCAATTTCCTACAGCAACGACTCGTCCTCTCCATAATTAAAAAAATACCCAAATATTTTGAACAAAATACATTCAATGCTTTATATTTATGTGAAGGGCTATGGCAAGTGTTTTGCCAAAACAAATTGCTACAGCTGGGCAATTAGCTTGGTTAGTATGTAAAATAACAGTTTAACCAAAACTACTACAGAATCAATTAAAGTCATGAAAATAATCAACTAATCAAAATTAGCTTTTCTGTTTAGAACTGTTTTTGACTATTCTAATTATCCAAGTAATCCAACTATTGCCATTATTATTTCTCATTATTTTCAATTAATTCAAGGGTGTCCATCTTAATCAATCAGTGTCACAACTCATGAAAATAAACAACTAATAACAATTAGTGTTTCCAACATGCCCTAGCTATTCAGGTAAGTATACAGTTATATATACTTTGTTGAATAAGTTTTGGTATTTTATGAAATATGGAGAAGATTCAGTGCCATAGGGAATAAAAAAATTTAGCATAATGAACATAAGTGCTGAGACATATGTAGGCCAATCTATTAGGGCCATAAATGCATTGATCCAACACATAAAGAAAATTAACTACTTATTTAATCAATGTCATGGCCCTGTGATCGGTAGTCAATAAGGTCATAACATAAGAACTCTTTAACTTGCAAAGTGTGACTAGAAATTGGTTAAACACATTATGGCTCTGTATATTGCCAGTCAACAATCTCATAACATATTGCCTCAATTTGAAGTATAGTCAAAATTCCACTACACATTGTATATATACATTATGATGCTGTTTTAATTTCCTCTTAATCCCAAAATGCATACTATACTTGAAAACCAACACCATCTTGGTCAATAGTAGTTGATCTACTCCATCAGGGCATGCGTGTGTGGGCTTTCCTAGCTTTGGGGAGATTCTCAGGCTATGGGATCATGCTACACTATCTAAGTCCACTTCCTTATATATATGTATCCTGATGATATACATAAATCAATATCAATATATTCTATTTCTTTTCAATGCCAGAATTTCCTTCTTGGTTCCTTTTTGTGTGTTTTTTCCAATATTTATATTATATATATATATAAACTTGTACTAAAGAGAGAAACATCATATAAAACATTTTACATTTTCTCTAAGTTTAAGTATGTTATCTTCATTTTCAATGCTATGATTTACTTTTGAGTGTTTAATACAACTTTAACAGTTCTGATCTACAGGGCCATAACACATTTTGACTCGTATTACGTGATTTAAAGTACGTTATCCTTGATTACCATTGGCTATGCATTAAATCAATGCATTATGGCCTTCATACTTAATTCATATATATATATATATATATATACACACACACAC